ATATATATATATATATATATATATATATATATATATATAATCTTAAATAAGCCATGACTATAAGTAAATTATTTAAAAGCCAAATCTTGGTTAATAGAACTAATTTGATTGAATGCATTTACATGTTATATATTATTTTTTTATGAATACACCAAATATTTAGCTATTAAAGGTAAATTAGAATTTTTCAATAATAAAAATAGAATCCTCAATACATTATAATAAAAAATTTAATAAAATCTTAAATAGATCTTAATTAATATTTAAAATCTTAATCAATTTTTAATCAAATTCAAAAAAAAATCTTATAGAAATTTTAAAGAATCTCTAAAGTCATCCAAAAGAATTTAAATAACAGTCCAAAAAAATTCTAACTTATCTTTAAGAAAATATTTTAAATAATTATAATTACATCCTAAATAGATTCTAAATAAATTCTATAAATCTTAATAAAATCTTAAATCAACTCTAATAGATCTTAATAAAATTCTAAAAAAATCTTATACAAATTTTAGTAAATTTTAAAAAAATCTTAAGAAATCCTAATAAAATGAAAATCAAATCATATAGCTAATTTAAAACCTTAATAATTAATAATTTAATTTTTTATTTTAATTCAAAAGTTGTACAAATCTCAATTTTTTAGTTGAAAAATATACAAGAAATTTAAAGATGATTTAATTTATTTAGTTAGAGAAAAACCTTATAATCTGCTTACGTGCCAACTAGCCTCCTTTTCCAATCTTAATATAGATCTTTTAGCACCAATATTACTTATTTTTACTATCCAATTGCTCTCAAATTTTTAATAATTTTAAAAACCAACTTTTCTACTAGTGTGCAAAGTTTACTTCAATTCAACCAAAAAATTATTTCAAATCTTAAAAAACCTCATTCACCATTTAAAATCTAATTTTTTAGATTCTAGTCTATTTAAATTTTAATAATATTTAATTTAATAATTTAATCGAACTCAAATTTATAATACATATTTAATATAAATACAATTAAAAATGTATAAATTTTTATTTGTGGATTTCTTATAAATCTCATTAAATACTTTATAATAGAAATTCATTTTGTTTTACAAAAATCAAATTTATTCCAAAAAAAATATGAATTTTTAAACTTCTTAAAAAGTCATTACTAATTCAAATCATTCAAAAAAATGCCTAAAAAATCTCTTATTAGTTTTTTCTCATATCTCACACTTTGATTAAACAAAGAACCTTAGAATTGCCATAGGTGTTCGGCTTTGTATCTTAGGAATCGATTTTGACCTTGGTACAAAAGTAGTCTTCTTGAAATATCAATTTTTAGCTTTTAAAAATAGTTTTTGTTAGAAAGTATTCTTAATTTTCTTCTTAAGATATCTATATTTTTTAATTTCTAATCTATTTTATTTTGACTTATTTTATAGCCATAAAAAGTAAATAGAAGCCATTTTTTTGAAGAAATAGTATTAATATTAAATATATTCATTATCTTTTTATCTATGTCTTTTTTAATTAAAATTTTATTTTTATTTTCTACCTTATAGCTGTATTATTATACTATAGGATGTTTAATACAAATATATGTTTATCTTTTGAAGGATTAATAAAAATATGCATGTTTTATTGATATAATTAAATTTATTTGAATATAAAAATATCTAAAGCAAGAACTATTAAATATTCTTCTTTTTTATTCTTTGTTTGAAATCAAAAAATTACCACTTTGAAAAGAATAGATTTATTAATTTTTTTTAAATTACTATTAGAAAATAATTAATATTATTGTTTTACTTACTTTAGACTAATTTAATTAGAATAAACTTGTATAAGGGGTTTCAAACATGGGAAAAGACTATCTACATGAATTTTCACATTAGGATCATACAATTAATTGTCTCTTGATCAACTAAAACATCCTAGAATGTTATATGTCTTATGCATTCTATCAAAGAAAATATTGCAATCGATAATTCTATCTTATGTGTTCACTATCTCTTCTGCTTTCCAAACTTATGACAATAATAGGTAATACTACACTATCTTAAAGGCTGTATAAAATATTCCATAATCCAATCATTTGAATTCTCCAAAACTAACTATCATTCTCAGTAATTTGCTTCACACAATTTTAGACTCCACAGTCTTCTTCTTGAATCTCAATATTCAATGTATTATAATTCTCCCAATTATATCCACAAGTATCTTCAATTATCAATTTTCTAATCCTTTATAGATAATTTGGCATATAATAAATTCACTTTTTCATTTGACATCATCTAAATCAAATCTTTTTTTTATTCCAGAATTGCACTCTACATTATTCAAATTCTATCCATTACTCTTTTTCTACAAGAAAACAAAAAAATAAAGAGGTAGCACCAAGCTTACCCTAGTTCATGACTATCACAATCTGGCCCTTTCTATTTCTTCTTCAAATTACTTATGCTTTTCTTCAAAATTTCAACCACTACACAACCAATGATAACTACTTTTCCTGACAACATCATCCATCTTGTCTTCTAAACTATCCAATCATTAGTTTACTAGCTTCTCTTAATCCTACATACTATGTATTGTAAAACAGAAAATATTCTATTCATTCTACAGTAACGTTAAGCTATAAAATATAATAATCATGCAAAATTGAAGATCTAATTGTTCTTTATAAGCAAAATAGCATTCATATCAAAATTTATTTAAAAATATTTTGCGAGCATATAATATAAAGTGAAGATAGATGTATTATATATCAATGATATAATAATAGGTATACATTTGAATGCAATCTTAATATCTTTATTTATAAAAATAGCTAAATTATTTCTTATAATAAATATTTGTATAAGAATTTTAATGCACAAATCAATATCAAAGTTTTTATTGATATCAAAAATATTAAGTATTTATTCAAATATATGTGCAAAGGCCTAAATTGAGCTACAATTAAAGTCATAGGGCCAATGATTAAAATTAAGCAATATCTAGATGTGAGGTATTTAAGCCTAATTAAAAGTATTAATACTCTATTTTATGAAAAATATAAAAATATTATAATAATTAAAAATTATGTGGTATAAAAAATAATAAAATTTATTAGAAAAAAAATTTGCATTCTTTTTCAATAAGGTCAACAAAATATTTTAAGAAAATTATAGAATACATTTTTTTAACAAGGATTATATTTTGTGTACTTTGCCAAAATGGAGCTAGTAGCTATATTGGTGAAGAAAAAAAATTTATTTCTTGGTTATTAGAACTTATTAAAGAATTGTTGTAAGAAATGGATAAAGGTAATATTTGAAAAAGAGTTAGTGATGACAATGGTATTTTTTTAGTCTAGAGAAACCATTGCTACCAAGTTTTTAATCTATCAATTATATATATATATATATATATATATATAGTCAAAGCCATGTCTATAAAACTTCTTCACCTTGTCACTTATTGAATTCCTTCTAGTCTCATTTCAAAAGTCTTTAGTTTTCTTATCTACTAATAATATTCATTCCATTTTTTTTTTGAATATGTATACTCATTTTTTTTTTTCATCTTTCTTTGAAAAATATCTTATTAATTCATTTACAATCTTTGAATTCTTATCTTTGACACAAACTATGATTTTAAATACCTTCTGAATATTTTTATGGTTTATCAAAATATTTTAAAAAATTAGATTATCCTTAAAAGATTTGTATAAGCATTTAGATCATTTTAAGCAATTCTTTGAGATTTTTATAATTTTTCCTAAATATTTTTATAAAACATAATTAATCAATATTAAATAATATATAAGATAGAAAAGAAAAAAAATTTAAATTTAAAGAAGTTAAAATTTTATGTTTTTTTTTGTAAACTTGTATTAAGGTTTTGTTCCTAATCCAATATGTTTTTATAAACTACTTCTTGATTTTGTGATTTTTTGTTCTTATATCTTTAATACTAAATTTTATAATATATATATATATATATATATATATATATATATATATTAATATTTATATAAATTTATGTATTATTATTTGTACTTATGTATTATGATAAAATAATATAATTATTATCAATATTATTAAAATAATTAAAGAATAGCTGATAATAACTTAATTTATATAAATTTATTACAAAAAAATATTTTTATGTATATATATATATTTATATATATATACATAACATACAATACTTATCCTTATAATTTATTGCATATATTAGAAGTATTTTAATTAAAAAATTTGTTTTTCTCAATCATGATTATATTAATGATTTTTTATTTTTTAATATTATATATTATTTTATACTCATTCTTTGAATATTTTATATGCTATTTTAAAACTTTAAATGCATTCATGTAATATTTTTATTTTTAAAAAATCCTCTATCATTTTAATTATTTTTTAAGAGCTCCTCTATCATTTTAATTGTTTTTTAAGAGCTCCTAAAAACCCTCTATAATCTTCTAGGAGTTTCCATGGTTCACTTGTCACTTAAGACTTTTTATAGTTTTTTGGAAGTGTTTATAAAAGATTTTTCAAGAATTGTAGTGCGCAAAAGTAAATATTGACACAACATAATAGCAACACAAATAATTAAACAACTTGAACATTTCTTCCTACATTAGAGATGGATTTCTCGGTAAACAAATGGTTCCCTTGGAAAAAATAGGATTCCTTAAAAATGCAAAAAGAAAAAACACATGTAGCCAAAATCTAGCATCATGTGAGAATGATTCTCCAATCCATCGTCCTCTTATGACTTTGACTTCGACTCCAGCTGTGAATATGCTTAAACCATTGCACCACATCGGACTACACGAAGTGCCGCCGATGAATTTGGAAGCATTGTCTGGAATTCGAAATTGTCCGAAGAATCGACGCCGGAGGGATGAACATAATCTCGGTTGGTGGGCGATGAGAGGGATGGAGGGATTGAGTCTATGTGTCAATGCCAAGTCAGCATCGCAGTGGGCATCACCTCATCTATGTGAAAAGCGGCAACCCAACTTGGCATCAGAATATGGCTTATCAGGAGCTCAAAGTATCTCCCTCCAGATCATCATTTTTATTCGCACGCTGTGACCAGATTGGAACAGGTTTGCTCATCACGTTCAGAAGTTGCCGGATCGGGTCTGCTGGGTCGATGCTCTCGAGAAACAACGCCTGCAAGTTGCTGTAGCTCTGAGATCGCCTTGCCTAACTGCTGGGTCGAGTCTTCGGGATTTGTAAGGAATTTTTGTTTGTTTGGGTTGTGAGGATCTGTACATAATTGCTGTGGAGGTTTGGGGTTTGAGTAGATTTGGTGTTTAGTAGAGGGGAGGGTTAGGTCGTTGGTCGTTACCGGAGATGGCTGCCGAGAAGAGCCACGCTGTGGATGAGGTTACTGCTGAGGTCGAAGCCGTGGGACTTGCGGAGGACCCCGGTAGGAACTTGAAGCTGGACCAAGCGACTTTCTTCCGGTGTGTGGAGAATGGTAACCTTTCAGCTCTAACAGCTTTGCTTAAGAACCGTAAGGTGGACATCAACGCATACAATGATGAGGTACCCATCATCCGGTTTCCGACTTCCCTTTCATGGCATCTTGTTCACCTCAAAGGTCCAATTTTGGAACTCAATTGCAACGCAGGGACGCAGCATCGCTCAGGGTTGCTTCCCATCACATGAGACTCATTATTTCTTGTCATTCTTGAGCCCTAATTTTTTTGCAGCGTGCAGATCCGATCAGCAGGCTCTGCTATTCCAATCCTAAATGTGCTTAGAACAAGGAGTCTTTCTCACCCTATCGCTGTCCTGATTGCAGGGCGTGACGTGTCTGCACGTTGCATTGTACAAGTATGAGGAGTCGCGGAGTCTGGACATGGTGAAGTTCCTACTTGCACATGGCGCTAATATCTCACTCAAGGCAGCTGTGATGCCATCTGCGCACAAAATTTCTATTATCCGCCACGGTCACGGTGGCAGTGTCGCCAATCCACTCGAAACCAAGAAGGTTGTTTTTGATCAGAAGACTCCTCTTCTTGTGGCGCTGGAGCTGAAATCGGCGCTTTACCTGAAAGGTGCATGCAGTGGATTGTTTCTCGCACGCCTTGTCTCGAAAGGTTTAGAATTCGTGGTATAGAATTCGTTCTTACTTGTTCGGTTCTTGACCCTTTTTTCTCTTGTATTTGTTGTTAATTCTTAGGGTGGGAGTACCGGCATTGGGACGAGATGTTGAGGATTTTAGCAGACGCAACCATTGAGCACCACGCTAAATCTCCTGAACTAAAGGGAGAAAGGCTTCCTTACATTGTGATTCAGAAGAATTGGGGTAATGTGTTCGCAAGTGGGAAACATGAGACGATTGAAGTGTGGGCAGAGGACAAGAGTATTACTGTGCTGAAGCTCCTCCTTACTGGCGCATCAAAGGTACATGTATATGACTGCCTTGTTTGATTGGTTGTGTTAAGAAACCGATACCATCTGTGCTTTCCACATCGAATTCGGATGTTGTATTCGTGCTTTCTCAGTATTTTCAGTAATTCTTGAAATGAATGAGTAATTGGCATACTTACCCACAATCTCTCGTTCGGCAGATTCTTAAACTCAATATCGAGAATCCAGACGTACAATATTCGAATAGATTGGACATCAAGGAGGCGTCGTTTAATATTACCAAGGCCATGATGAAGTTTCTTTACACTGGAAAGGTTGAAGCCGAGTTTCTTGAACACAGGGGTCTAGATCTCCTATCTGCGGCTCACAAGGTTGCCAACTTGTTCAACTTTTTTGATGCTTTATTCTGCATAAACACCACTCTTTTCAAATGTTAACATGATCCGTCTTAGGAAACAATTTTAGTGCGTTCTTCATCGTTAACATATTGTTTCTCGAGTGAATCTGTTGTCTTCTTAAGAAACATGTAGGTTTTTGACTCTTCAAAGTTGATTGTCGACAATCTGCTGTTAAACATGCTGATGTTTAAGTTCTATGGCAGTATGGAATCAAGAGCTTGATGTGGGTTTGTGAGGATTCAATTCGTGCTACACCGGGTAAGTTGTAAATCAACTGGGCCTGTTTTCTTTTAAATTGATTGGGTTTCAGTGCAGCATGGCTCTTGAACTCATAGCCCTTTTTTTAAAGGATGAAGGGGATTGACATTTCATCTTCTGTTTTCTAGATAATTGGATCAAGCTTCTATCCACGGCCATGGAGTGCAACTCAGATATGCTAGCTCTCAAATGTGCTCAATCGATAAAGGAAGTGATGGACGAACGACATGAAAAACACACCAGTTTGAAGAAGAGCTATTCAAATATGCACAATGTCCCTAACCAACTCTTCACTTCATTTCCGTGACAAGTCTGTTTAATCTTCAAGTATTCTCGGTATAATATACTGTTGCATATGTATAATCATGAGCTCATGAGATATGAGATAATGGGTTGATATATATTTTAGCCACTGAGGCTAATTAATTTTATTATTACCGTAATAAGTAATATCGTGCCTTCAACTCAATCTTTAGCGGTCCTAAACCTGGGTTTAGGCTCTCGTTGTGTTAATTGGCTTCTTGTTGCGATTAAGCTTCAAGTTCATTGTCACCTGCTCTCTGAGCTGTCTGAATGCGAATGCGATAATTGGCTTTAACTGCGGCGCATTCAAGCTTTTAAATCACCTCAAACAAGATAGGCTCCGCATCCAGCCTGTCATGGAAAGCAAGCCCACCAATTTTCAGTGAACAAGGTCGTGTCAGGCACAATTCCCTCCATCAATTGCTGAAACAAGTTAGCCTCTCTTAGATTCTCTCCTCTCTTACAAAATACACCTATCAATATCTTGCTTGTAAGATCATCGGGACTGCAGCTCGCAGCTCAAGGACAGCAAATGCTTCATCTACATTCTCGTTAAGCCCTTATCCACGGATTGACTTTGTTGAAATCCTTATCCACGGATTTATCAAAGTCAATACATCCGCTCAATACTGGTTTAAACTGGGCAAAAATGGTCTGAAACGTCGATTCTAAAAATCGTTTACCATTTACAGTACTCCGACCACGCTCAGTACTGTTCAAGGTTCTCAGTTTGACAACCTGGTGTTCTCGCCTTCTTCATCAAGTTACATTATTGCCCCATGGCCCTGCCCTTTGATTTTCATGTTGTATGGCGTTCAAGAGTGTCTATGGGTCGATGTACCTGAGCTTGTGTTATCTGCATGTTAGGCTTCAGAGTTAAATACAATGAAGGCTACATAGGTCCACTTGCAATTCTTGATATTGTTGTGATTAGGTTCACACTGTTTGGCTTGGGGTTGATTGTCTGAGGACTGGTGATTTTCTTTTCAATTTCTTACTTATAGATAGAAGAATATTTTTATCTATATATATATATATATATACACACATACATACATATATATAAAATCCTTAAAGTTTTTTAATATTTTTATTTAGTACAATTGTCTATATAAACATTATCTTGAAATAACATAGCATCAATAACAATATTTAGTAAAAAACATATAATTAGTTGTAAGAATTTAAAACTTAAAAATAAATATAGTAAAAAATAACACAATCTATAGACATCCAATTCTATACCTCACATCAACATTTGACATGCAAAATTTTACTACACAAAGTTAATAAATTGAACTTCTCTTGTGGAAACATAATCACTTGTTCTAGCTTTGCTAAGAAGATATTTTTATACTTCAAAGTTGTTTTTTGAAGATTCAATCTCCAACTTATTTACTAACTTAAAGTTATTAATATATTAGTCTTTAGTTACAATGAAAGATAGCAACCAAACTATTAGTCATTGTATTTGTGATTGTAGGGGGATCAAAAGCTTGCTATCTTAAATTTATAGAATGTTAGGATAATATTGGAGACTTGTCTTGTAGAAAAGAGAAGAAAAATTTAATTCGTTCAAATCATTAGTTTCTAAGAATAGATATCATGCCTTCACCTTTCAAGACAAAAAGTTTACAAAAAGATAAAATTCTTACAATTATTAAATTATAAAAAATAAAATCTAAAAAAATAGTCTTTTAGTAGAAGCTTTTGGAGATGGATATTTTAATCCTCCAATAAAAGAGAGTAAATCTCTAATATTATTAGATTATATTAAAGACTAAGCACTATGAAGTCATAACACTTAGCATTAGCAAGATTGCATGCAAAGAAAGTATATAGTAAGTTATCTCTTCTTCCAACACCCAATACTTACATGTGGTGGTTGTTGCCCTAAAAGACAACCTCCACTCTTTGACTTTTATAGACATGGTCTTAGGATCCTTTGGCATCTTACTAACCATGAGAGTATCTTATGCCAAACACTAATTATTTTTATCTAATCATTGAATATTTCCTAGTTCATACTTTATCCTCTTAATTTTGACTCTTTGTCCTTGATATCATCCTATATCTATAGAATGTCTTGTATAACCACTAACAGTCAATTCTTTGATCAATAGCAACTTATCTAAGGTAATATCTCTTACAATATAATTTTTTCTACTTTCACATCAACTTATATATTTTATCACTTCCACTTTGCTATTGGTCAAAACGCTTTTGAATCTAATGCTTTTATCAACATATGATGTCTATCCTTTACTAGCGCCTTTATAAACAAATTAGCAAGCATGTCTTGTATTTCACAATACTTCATATCAATCACTCCCATTTCAATCTTCTCTCTTATGAAGTGATGTTGAATGTCAATAAGCTTGGTTCTTGAACAATGTTTTAGATTCTTTGCAAATATAAGTAAGATATCCTTGATTGTCACACTCCATTAGAGTTGCTTCTGTTTGTACTATTCCAATGTCCTTTAGAAGTTATCTTAGTCATATTCCTTCTATTGCACCATAACTTGCAACCATATACTCCATTTACATTTTTAATCTTACAATTATTGATTCTCTCTTATATTTCCACGAAATAGCTTCTATTCTAATAAATGACATATATCTCATTATTGATCTTCTATCATTTGCATTTCCAATCCAATTTGCATCATAATAACCATACAAACTAATCTTATCACTTCCAAGTCATAATTTGAAATGCAAAGTACCTTTTAAGTATCTCATGATTCTTTTGATGGTTGCCTAATGAGCTGGTTTAGCTTTTCATTGCATATATAAGACCCACCTTTGTACTAATCATTGCATACATAAGTGAATCCACTACTACCTTGTACGGAATTCCTTATATTTGACCTTCCACTTCAGCATACTCTTCATCCATAAGCTCTATCAATTTCAAATTAGCCTCCAAAGATATTTCAATAGACTTACACTCTTCCATGTTGATTCATTTCAACAATTCTTTTATGTGCTTGCTTTGACTCATTGTAATGGTCTTCTTAGTACAATCTCTTATAAACTCCACTTCTAAACAATAGTAAATTTCTTCCAAATCACTTATTTCATATTCTTTTTCTAACTTTGCCTTCAATCAATCCATCATCTTTATAGTATTGGTTAAGATGATCAAATTATCAACATAGAGGATGACAATCAATATGAACTCACTTGATTGCATCAAATACAAGGAATGATTAGATTCACTCCTTTCAAATCCTTCATTCATAAAGAATGTATCAATGCATTGGTACCATGTCTTTAGAGATTGTTTGTTAGAGATTGTTAGAGATTTGTTTAGGCTTTCTTTAACTTAAAAATAAGATATTATTTCTTTTTTTTCTACAAATCCTTGAGATTGATCTATGTAGATGTTTCCTTTTAGATTTTCATTCAAGTAAGCTGTCTTCACATCCATTTGATGCATCTTTAAGTCTATTACTGCTTCAATTGCAACAATGGTTTGAATGGTGGTGAATTTGGCCACAAAAGCAAATGTCTCATTGAAATCAATACCAACAACTTATAAGTAGCTTTTGACAACCAATCTAGACTTGTATCTCACAATATTATCCATTGCACCCCTTTTGGTTCTAAACACTCACTTACAACCAATTGAAGATTGATTTGGTGGAAGTTGAGTAAATTCCTATATTCTATTGTCTATGAGTGATGTGTATTCTTCTTCCATGGCATTCTCCCACTTCATAGTATGTGTGGACTTTATTGCATCTGAAAAACTCAATAAATCAGCAAGAAATACAACATTGAAATATTTTTTTACTTACTTAAAGAAAGATGTGATTCTTTCACTATGTTTTAAGTTGTTTTCTATCTCTCAAAGGATATGTCTTTTTACTTAATGAAGCTTCACCTTCTTTCACTCTAAAGTTTCTTGTAAGCTCCTTCTCTCTTAAAACTTACTTTTTGACATTCAAAGGTTAGTATTCATCATCATCATTATTTTTAATATCTTGATTGCCTTCATTTTTGGTTTAAGCAATTATAGATATATTATGGTCTACATTCTTTAACTCTTCATCTTGATTTGAATTTCTACGATCATCAATTCCATCATCTTCTTCTTTTTTGTTTATTAAATTTAAAGATGTGTCTACAAATATACTATTATTTCCACTTGAATATATCTCCAAGTATTCATAAGGGCTCTTATGCTCCAAAAACTCTACATTAAAACTCTTGATAATCTTCTTAGTTTCTAAATACATCACCATATATGCCTTGGTATCTTCATAATATCCAACAAACATATTATATATATATATATATATATATATATTTTTTTTTATCAAATTTGAATCTCATACAATCTAATACCTTTGCATAAGTAATGCATCCAAAATTCTTCATATATAAAATACAAGGTTTCTTGTCAACTCAATTTGAATGTCAAACTTTTAGTGCCAATATCTCCTTCTTGAACCATTGAATTTCCTTCAAAATATACTTAAACCATGGAAAATCATATTTTATTTCTATACAAAAAAACTTCACTTCAATCCAATTAAAAAATTGGTAAAGATCTCAAAAATACTCATTGGCCTACAAATTCCAATTCTTCAGACCTTGACCTACAAAAACCTTCACACACATCGATCTAACCATTCAATTGATTTCAAAATTTTTATATACATTAATAAATAAAATACCAACATATTTTCTAAAATTTATTTATATATATATATATATATATATATTAAAAAACTTAAGAAATCTTTAAATTTATAAATATAATTTTATTTTTTATAATCTAATTCAATCAAGAACATTACTAATTTTAAAAATCTCCTTAATACTAAATTTTAACATAATTGTGGTTGTTGTTTTATATATTCTACAAATTCCTTTCAGAACAAACATATAGAAGGAGATTTGAATACAAAAAAAGACTAATTGCATGAGCTTACACATTAAGATCACACAATTAATCGTATTCCAAACCACTAAAATACCAAAGAATATTATAATGCTTTCTTTCATTAATAATATTCCTTCATCAAATTAAATATTAAAAATGTGAAATCCTACCCTCTCAAAAAATTGCTCAAAATATGCAAATTCCATCCAATACCAAAAATAACAATCTTCTACTCCAACTAATCTCGCTTCACATAATTTCTGTAATCACAGACTTCTTCTTTCAAAACACACACAATTCTTAATTAATAACAATTATAATCTTCTATCTAGAATCAATCTT